GCAGGTTCGTCTACGGGTTTGAGAACATTTACCAGCTTGGTTCAGCAAGGGGGAAATTAAGTACATAAAAAGTTCGATCCTCTAACACTTGGTCGATACCGGACATCGCATTGACACCAACACAGCTTTCAGGGTTATATACTGAATTCCGAAGACGTTATCACGGAACAGTTGGCATACGTCTCCTATATATAGATGAAGCTGTTGCAATAAGATCGACTAAGCCGAAACTTTGTATCTATAATGAACACGTTCAGATGCTGTTCCTACTCTGGCCAAACTTGGATTAATAATTACTCTTCTCGTCAAGAGTGCTTCTTCAACTTAGGCCTCTTGGTTTTTTTTTCTGTCTTTGCTTATTCTAATTATTATTATTCGTCATAATTCATACCCCCACCCATGCAAACATTCAATATTATCGGGTTTTCCATTTATGCTATCTAGACTTATTAATAGTGATATTATTTCTTTTCTCAATAAATGCCTCCACCTCCTTCATTTCATACATTTGTTGTTTTATGATAAACCTGTCATTGCAGTCTTATTATCTCCACCTTAATACATACTGCTTTGCAATTCCATTCTTATTTTTACTGACATAGATCATCCCATCCTATGTCAGTAAACATAGGATTGGTGAAATGTTCAAGTGACAGAGCAAGAAAACTAAGTAGTACCAAGGAAAATCTAAGACAAGAAGTGATACACATAAAAGAAGCCTTGAAACTCAATAACTACCCGGATAAATTAGTCAGGAAATATGTGTGGAAATGTAAAAATAAAATATGGTAGTGATGATAATAATAATAATATTAATAATAATAGTGATGACACCAACAGTAAGGAATCTAAATCGTCAGTAGTAATTCCATACAAGGAAGGAACCTCGGAAACCACCTTACGCAGAATTCTTAACAAGGCAGGAATAAAAGTGGCTGGCATTCAAACCACCCACAAACTCAATTAGAAACAAGCCTTGTCGGTTAAAGGATCCTGTGGAACATCCAGCGGCGGTCAAACAAAAACTTGGCACCAGTCAATGAAATGCACAACAGTTAGTCTAAGCCACGTAGGAAGGTGTAAACTTACAGGCTGGGCTCCTCGGGACGGTAAAAATCTATGGTTGGAAACAATTGGTGACATGGCTCAAAATCGTTCTCAGTGGCGCAGATGCATCCACTCCTTGTGACTTATGATTTCCAATGAAACTATTTTGTTCTTCGTTATTACTCCTCCTTTGTCTCACGCCTCTGTTTCCTGTCTCTATTACGCTTTTCTGGCACTTTCTTCCCTTGCTTTTTGTGCTACACGGAGTGTGGCGACTTGAAGTGCCGCACATATGTGCAAAGTTCTATGTCGAATACTGACAGACAGACAGTGGAACAGCCAATTAAACAATACAATTTAGTTTATCTAATACCCTGACTGCAATGATTGTCAGGTCAAATACATAGGTCAAACTAGTAGAACAGGGACAGTCAGTCAGACTAGCCGAGGATAAAGCCCTAGCCAAATCTAGACTGGTTGACCCGAATAAGATAAGAAATCTAGAGAATAGTTCAGCTATAGCACTACATGCAGTCACACACAACCATACGATAGGATGGGATAGGATGACAGTTTTAAAATCTAATGTTACAGGGTGCAGGGAGAGATTGATAACAGAAGCTTTGTTTATCGAATCAACTGCAAATACACGTAATAGAAATGATTCAACACCTGTCCAGCCAAATATCTGGAAAATTCTACTACCACGCCTAAGACAACAAATAGGAGAGAACAAAGTGAACTATAAAACTCAAGTTTCAAAGTCGTGTGATTACAATTGATATTATTATGAACGATAAACTGTGTTCGAAACCTTGTCATCCAATAATTAATACCGTTTCACTGTGTGATACATCTGTCCAATAAACAAACTAATATGGAATTACTTACTACCACAGTGCTCAAGTTTTACACATATATTAACACACTGCTTTGTACTAGCCACTCACCTGACACCTTTTATAACCTTGAACTGACTTGCTAATTTTTCCTAAACCACATTCGACGAATCTATTATGACTAATCACCGCCATTTTCTCCTATTTCATCGAAATATTTTGTAATCGATTTCAGCCCAGAGCACGTTTGTCAGACAAATACGACTATTTTTTTTGACACCCCATAACTACTAATCTGTTATTCTACGTTAAAATTGTATCCGCCGCAAAACTGGCCTTTATTGTAACGACAACAAATATTATATTTTATAACTGTAAGAACCTGAGGAGGAGATATTATTGGAAAGAATATTCTTCGTTCAGATTGACTTTTAAAACATGTAGAAGGAAATTTATATGGAATCAGCGTACGCTGAGGTAACCATCGAATGACATCACGATACTTTACTTTACTTTACTTCGGCTATCTCCTACGGGAGGATGAGCCGGCTTCATGAACCATGAAGTTTCATGGGAATTAGGTACGAGTGATGTCCCCAGAAACGCTCGGCCTTTGTTTGAGAGTGCAGCTCTAGCCTTTACACAACCAAGTGTGATCTACAAGGGAGTAGGAGTGGAGTAGGAAGTCCACTATCCATTGGAAACCGGTGACCGCAGTCCGGTTCATACGCCTTTTTGAATGGGGCCAGACATCCAGGACATCCAACAAGCCCTTTGTCCATACGTCTTCCGGTGAGCTTCATACGCCAGTCGTTGGAGGTTTGGAATCAGGGTTTAGCCATCTCCCCTAGACTGTCATCCAATGGACAGTCAACCCGGTGAAGAGCGCCGGGCATCCGCTTTTGCCCTCTCACTTCGGTGAAAGACACCTCCGCCACGTGAAGGCAGTGAGTAGGACTTCCTCAGGAGAAGCTATGTAAGACGCCCGGTCATATGGGAGCATTTCAAGAGGTGTACGGAAGGGTGGCCAACCCGCAGCGCAAGACACCCACCCCCGACCATCCTGAGGCTTTGGAGGTCATAGCTCAAGTAGAATCCAAATGGGGAAACCAGGAATGGGTCGTCCTAGAGTGACATGGAGGAGATCGTGTTAGGAGAAGGAGGAGATGACAGACTATGGGCGGTCATGGATCCAGCTAAACATAACTGCAGAAAATGGAACAACGTAGAAATGAGTTGTTGAAACCCTATGCTCCTTTCGGAACCCAAGGGAACAGTAATATCCATAAGCACTCATATGAAGAAGTGAGACCTGTTTTTGCAGCACATAGCCGTATAACTTTCATATATATATATATATATATATATATATATATATATATATATATATATATATACATATATATATATATACGCCTGACACTATAAATGTCACTATTGATTCACGAGAATATAATTAGTCTCCCGGCTATCTCACCTATTCTTTACTGTTGCCCAAATGTTTGCTGCATGAATAATGGATAGAAGTTAATAAAACACGCCTGTACGGGGGTAGCTTGACAGGATAACTGATCTTTTGGGAGTAGATTCAAGACAAACAATCAGAAATACAAAACGATCTCAAAACATCATAATCTTAAGTCATCATTTTAACTGTTTTGCGAATTTAGTTGCTTCTCATTTCTGATTAGTTGCTTAAACTCACTGGTACGATCGACCGGGCTGCCTACTATATTATTTTTTATTTTTTTGATTACAGCTTGATTCCACACTGTATTTTTGGTACAAGTATGGAATTTTCAGCATGGATATCGGTAGCCCAAATTTTGCAGGCCGACCATAGATATCAGGTGTGCGTCGGCAGGGGTTCAAACCTCGGAACATGTGGATGGTCGGCGAGTCCTAACCACTGTGCCACCGCTACACAGTGGTGCTACAATATACCTTTTGATGGTAGTTCGATGATAAAAATAATAATGTCAAAAATGTGCCAAATAATGATAAGAATGTTAATAACTAAAATTGTAAGCTATGGAGAAATAAAGGACAATTCAGCGAAGAAAATTTTCTTTATCGACGAAATCATCTTCAGAGGCTTTACAACAGTAACTATATTCACCAAATGTATAGCAGTGCGTCGGTGGCACAGTGGTTAGGACGCTCGCCGACCATGTACATGGGCCGGGATTCGATCCTCGGCCACCGACGCACTCTTTTACCTCGCTAAGCCAGAAATAATGTTTGTAAAGAGGAAAGGTTGGGCATGAAGCCAGCAACCCCATCCTGTAAAAATAAACACCACTACTACAGAAACTTCAAGCCTCTAGCTTGAAGTCCTATGTTCCACTGGGAACGTGAAGAAAAAAATGTATAGTAGTCTATTATTGAGTAATGAGAGGAAGGGTGACACAATTACTCAATAATGACAGACTATACATTTTTAGTAAACATAAATACGACTGTACAGCCTCTGAAGATGATTTCATCGATAAAGAAAATATTCTTCGCTGAACTGTCAGTTATAATTTAATTGAAATAGGGTCACCGTAGATTACAAATAGGAAAGGATAGGAAGAGCCAATTCATAGGTCCCACGCCTAAAACTATACCCAATAGGACGTGGGTCAAATATACTATCACTGAGCTTTTGTACTTAGTTGTACAAGCATATAACCTTTTATAATAACTTCTAGCCTTAGCCGATGAGATGTGAGGAGGGGAAAGTTGAGAATAAAGAGGGTGTTGAGAGTTAAACAATATGAATTTAGCCCATTTCTCACATGAGTTCAGGTACGCCTGTCGACTACAGTTGTAACGAGTCGGCTGACTCAGTGGTATACCACTTTCCCACTGACAACCTTTAATACCCTACAGTCATGTTGCACAATTCTTGACCCTCAACAATATAGTTAATCGCTTAACTTTCTTTTTAACCGGTAGATGAAGACATAACCATACAATGACAATTAATGATGGAATTACTTATTAAGCCATATACATATTATTCATTCTGATGATGATAAAGTTAATAATAATTAAAACCACTGGTCACTATTTCTTCGAAAACAATTTTTACGAAAATTGACAAAAAAAACAGCAACACAACAATCATACCTCCGGCTGGTTGATAATCCAAAAAACTTTTGCCCACAAAATTTCAGCTAACTAACCCAAATGTCTTCACATGATTCAGTCGCATTAGCAGTGTTTTTATTGGTCTGGTAAAAATAATCGATTGTTTAACCTACAGACTGACCAATCAAATGCTTATGAAAACGGACACATATATAGGCAATTTTGATATCCAGACACACAGGCCAACAATGCAAAGCCAAAAAGAAAATAGTCGTACCAACTAATGACGAATGCCGAATTGTTATTGCCTCTATTACCTTCAGGTTGTAGAACATTGGATCTGTAGGTACTGGACGTATACTACTAATCTCTCCCACTCTCTCTCCCTCTTCATCATATTGCTCAATAAAAGCTCATAACAGGTATAAAGCAGACAAGAAAATAAGGATTAGTAGGATATATGTTCAAACCAAGTTTACTTTTAACCGTTTGAAAAAATTTGGGCATTGGGTATATGATATTCCTTATAATAAAGGTTTTTGTATTACCCAATTGATGAAAAACAAAATGATATTGTTTTTACTGACTCTTTGCTCTTCAATGCTAATAGCTTTATCAAAGTATTTTTTAATATATTAAATATTCCCATAGTAAAATTTAGAACAACAAACCCATTTAAGCGAACAATATTGTTGTTTTCAATTAGATCTCATCAGGCTTAACTCTAATATATATAAGTTTACAAATAAAATTCAAATATAAACCAATCATCATGGTGTTTTGTCTATAGGATAATACGATGGTGTATATAAATTGTGCAATCACTCATAATAGCAGTAATGATAATATCAATAATGGTAGTAATAATAATAATGGTCTTATCAATAATAAGGATGAAAAAGTGAGGCAATCTGTGATAAAACGAATAATGAAAAACAGCATGATTAAACAAACAATTGTTCAGGTGGAAGTAGTCGATAAAGGCTAGTAAAAATAAATGAACCGATTAAGTAATGTTAGATTGTAAGGGAAGTAAATGAAACACGTTTTTAATGAAGATGTGATAATAAGATTAAGGGATGATAAGAAAGGGGTTGAAAATATAAACAAGGGGTGGTGTAGAAGTCTTTAGTTGGTTATGTCTTATTAGGCCACGGGAGGGATAATGGCTGTACGAACTTCTTTTGAATGCATAGTTTAGGTTTAATAATTTGAATGCCTATCGCCTCAGCTGTGTGCGTGCAGTAGACGAATACGAAGTCTATTGGAAAGATTCGGTGGGATACGATGAATTACTTTGAAAGTGCTCGTTTTCTCCACTACATGACCATTGTCAACTAAATGTGACAAAATTGAGCTAAGGATTGTTTTTGTCTGTCCTCTGCCAAACCACGATGGGAGATATTCACTAACACGTTGGCTACGCTGTCTAGCAGTATGCCCAACATAACTGTCACCGCAGATGCAGTTGAATTAATAAAAACACATAGATGTGGCAAAACTATCTAGCTTGTCCTTCGTTTGCGTCCGAATCATTCGTTGGCTAGATAATGACAAACATAGGAGTGCTGCGTAAAATGTTCTTCGTATACTCCTTGAAAGTCTTTGGAATAGAATCTCACTTGATAAGTTACTATTAAATTGTAACCTAATAAATAGAGGTTTCTTACGTGCAGTCAGAGTCTCAGGTTTTGTCGCTGATGTTTTCATGTGTTTCTTTATGAAACTACTCGGATAGCCAGCCCATCTCCGTCAAGGAATCGTGAATATATTCAAATTCCTTTTGTAAGAGGTCATCCGTACATATCTTCCTTGCTCTGCTCGCGAGACATTTTACAACATTCCTTTTATATTTAATGGACACGTAACTAAGGAAGTGTGTGTATTGTCCTGTGAATGTGCTTTTTCCGTATACACTTCTCCCAAGTGACCCATCTTCTCTCCTAATTAACAAGACATCCAGGAAATGTAGTTTATTCTCCTGCTCCTCTTCATAAGTAAAGGTAAGCGAAGGGTGGATGTTGTTGAATTTAAGTAGCAACTCGTCTGTGTTAACATTCTCATCAGCTAAGATAAATGTATCATCGACATATCGGTAATACATATCCAACTCATTGATGATGTCTTTCAATTTCCCGTTTTCAAGTTTTCCGAGAAAGAAGTCAGCTAATATTGGGCCTAATGGTGAAGCCATAGCTATTCCATCTACTTGTCGATAGTATGAATTATTGAAGACAAAGTGAACATTCATTGTGCATTTAAGTATTTTTTTAACCTGAATTTACAAAATTTCAGCATAATATAGCAACTTAATTATCGTTCCTCAGCATGGGGGCATTTTTACGTTGTTGTCAAGTTGGCCAATTGGTAAAGATAATAAGACCAGGTGTAGATTGTAGGATGTTAGAAGTGTGTAAAATTATAAAAGCAGCGTGTGCATACATAATGAAATTGTTTATTACATTCGTTTTGATTGTTTCATTTCATGGGGTACCAGTGTTGGTGATGCAACCAGGCCAAATTCTGTTTTAGTCCATCATTCCTATTCAGACAATTTAGATTCCATTTGATTATATGAAGTGCTTCTGATGATATGAGATGTTCTTTGTGATTTCTGAAATTTTTCTGGATTGTTTCAATATTACCCAAACCAATTTTGTGGCCTGATTCTAGAGCGTAGCGTGTAGACCGACCAATGGCTGATAATTTTTCAAGCCTTTCTAGTTCAACTGGATTTATTTCTCGGTGGTATAACAGAGGCGGTTCTACGGTGTTCATTTCTTCTGATTGCCCTGATTTCTCACATTCCAAGCATTTTATTTTATAGACGCAAATAGATAGAGAATCTTTAGGATTTGGTCTTTTATATGGACAAGGTTGCTTCACAGTGTGTGTCTGATGCTTCGAAGAAAACTCTGATGTCGAGCTGATTAAGTTATCTTCTGATATCGTCTGAAGTCTCTGCTCTATATGGAATGATGATGACTGTTGATGTCTATGTTTTCGAAATACGTTTTCGACCATACTTAATGTCAGTGTTGATTTTTTTGATGAAGTTCTGAGTGTGCTCGTCTGAGAAGACTTCAAATAACTGATACGTTTGCGCTGATGGGGTATTATGATCCGAAGTCTAAATATTTGTTGGAGCGGGCTTTGTTTCTGAATATAGATATACTAAAATATCAATTTTCTCTCCTCTTAATTAGACAGGCGCTGGTCTATCGACGCTGTCGAAGGCCTTTTCAAAGTCGATGAACTTGAGACAGAGAGGTGACTGCAATTGTAAGCTCTGTTCGGTGATGATACGTAGTGTGGCGATTTGATCAATACATGACTGGTTTCTCCTGAATCCAGCTTGTTCCGGTCAAAGTTTTTCATCCAGGGTGGCGTGTTTGATTCTCTCCAGGATGATGCGGCTTAGTATTTTGCTTGGGATAGACAGGAGCATAATTCCGGGCCAGTTCTTAAATCGACTTGAGCCCATTTTCTTTGGCAGTTTGAATAAGTAGCCTTTCTTCCAATCTGCAGTTACCTTGCCCTCTTTCCACAGCTTCTCCACTAATGGCATCATCAAGTCCACTGTTGTCTCTGGGTCCATTTTCAATACCTCTGGTGGGATTCCATCTGGTCCTGCTGCTTTTCCAGTTTTTATCATCTTGATGGCCTTCAGGATTTCTGTTCTCGTCGGAGGGTTGATGTCCACTGGTAGTTCTGCTTCCGTTGTTGGTACTGTTGGCGCGTTGTAGGTGGCAGAAGATTTAGAAGTCTTTTGAAGTGTTCAGCTCAGTGTTTTCTTTGCTCCACCTCTTTGGGGATTGACTTTCCATTGTCATTCTTGACTGGCTTAATCTGTGTCGAACTTTTTCCCGATAGGTTCCTAGTTGTTTGGTAGAGTTTGGTGAGGTTTCCTTTGCCTGCAGCCCATGACTTCATAATATTTTCTTTTGTCTTCCCTGGTACTCTTCTCTACTCTTTTGTTTAGTGTATTGTAGCTTGCATTCAACTCCTATTTCATTTGCTCATCGATGCACTAGGTAATCTTTTGTTTCACCATTCTTCTCTCTTCTATTAGTCTCCATGTGTCCGTAGTGAGCCACTGTCTGTCCTATCCCTTCTTTCTGCCTAGAACTTTCATGCAGGTTTGACTTTACAACGCATTCAGGCTGTTCCAGTGTTTTTCAACGCTGGTCTCTTCGCTAGTGTTGATTTGTGTAGCAGCATTGATAGATTAGAAGTTGTTTTCCTTAAAGTGATCTGTACAAGTGAAACAAGACATCATTATAGGTGAAGAACATTCTTTACAGTTAGATCCACAGACTTTAGTCTAATGTATATAGCTTAATATAAAAATGTATTGAATGTCGTAAATATGTCAGTTTTTTCCTTGACGTTACCAGTGGAACATAGGGCCTCAAGCTAGTGGGTTGCATTTTCTGTAGCAGTGTTTATTTTTAAAGGATTAGGTTGCTAGCCTCATGCCCAACCTTCCCACTTTACTGGCATTATTTCTGGCTTAGCGAGGTTAAGGAGTGCGTCGGTGTCCGGGGATCGAACCCCGAACCATGTGGATGGTCGGCGAGCGTCCTAACCACTGTGCCACCGACGCAAACCTGTCAGTAATAACATCGATTATAACTATACTAATAATAATTTTTACGTGTTGACGACGGATCAGTTTCATTTAGAGAACCACTGAAAACCAGGAAGTACTGGACAGCCAGCTGTTCCACCCTAGTTTGTGAATCATTGGCAGGAAGCACCCACCACATGGGGTTCGAACCCAGAACCCTCCGGTTACAAGGCAAGCTAGCTAGCTCATATACGATTCAGCCACTGGGACCCGATTCAACTGCCCCCAGTCGATGAATTCTAACTTCCAAGAACTCGTGATTTAGGGCAACCACCAATCAAACTAGGATGAGACAGCTGTCCCTCCAGCTAGTTTTCAATGGTTCTCCAAATGATATCAGTCTGTGGTCGACTCGTAAAAACAAAAGCAATCCTTACAAACCAACTATAGAAAAGTAATAATAATGCTGATAATGAAGTTAAGAATAACCAAAATACGAGTAGATGGAGATAAGAACAATGATAATATAAACAATTCAATAATGAAATTAGGTCAAAAAACAAAAGTTACATAATAATGCTAAGGGTGAAGGTAATCGGAGTTTACATAAATATCATAAAAGTACAAAAGAAATGGAAGATAATAAACAGTGGGAAGTTATAAATCAGAATTTGCTTAGGCCAGGGGAGAGACGAAAGTAAAACAAACTTAATTGGTGGATGGTGACTGGCAGTGGAATCCAAAACAATGCGTATTTTGTCCTATTTGGGACTCGTCAGCTAGATGTACGTGCATTCCCCCGTAAGTGAGTGATGATGTTCTTACCAAGGCTCGACATCAGTGACTATAGTT